TAGTGTGGCTTGTAAGTAGTCTGCAGCGGAGCGAACGACACAGATTGCTGTGGTTCGTCACGGGAAATGATAGCATTAACGAGAAAGTAACCATAGTCGCCTATCCATATGGACGGTTGGTGAGTGCATCGTACACCATAGAAGCTTCTCGAGGCCGGGTTGAAGTAGCGTACAGTGGCATGGTCGGGTTCGGTTTGAACAGACCAATGATTGAAGCCGAATGGTCGGCCCATGAGGGGCGTGGCGCCACCAGTAGACAACTCATAAGTATTAGAAGTACCAGCTAGAACGTTAACATAATCGACGAGGCTATCAGCAGCTTGAATGCTACCGATCATTACTTTGAAAGCGAAGATGAGGTCCAGCAGGCTATTCATATTGACAACAAATAAATGGGACTAAACCAACTCTGTGGTTAGTCGGTGTGCAGGCGTGCAAGAAGAGACACTCCCCCTACACCTCAACATAGAATTATTACGCTCAGAATCTGCTCGTACAAAATGCTGTACGGGAGCGATTCATACTCTCTAATGAGTGCTGTTTCGGTCTTGAGGACTGCAAAGTTCAACACCACGTACTAAGTGGGGCTATTGCAGACCAAAGTCTCGCTAACTCAGATCGTGCGGTCCATCACGTGAAGATCATGAACTACTATGCATATAATTCGAGCTCAGGTATGTGATTTGTCGTCTTTCCGAACCGTTCGACTCGTCTAAAGATCCCTTGCGTTAAGCTGAGCTCAATCAAGCAAGGATGGTTGACATAACATGCACATACCGAACTTGAGATCAGAATGCTCCATTCGACCGCGCGCAGGAACCGCACAGGATTTCGCGTACGATAATTCACGCTGCGTGAATCACGCAGAGGCAGAATCTCAAACTCTAGGAGCCTCTCAAAATAGCATTTGAGCAATCTGACTCTACCGAGCAGAGTTCGAGGACAGAGTCTGCGCTGAAAATCAGCTCTCCCGTAGAGCCAAGTTTGAAGGATGGAGAGTCTCCATTCTTTA